TACATCAGGAACTGGTAATAGTGAATGATGGCAGGTGAAGAAGGGGAACTGGGTGGTTAAGAATTAGGAACAGGAAGTGACATACTATACTCTTTGGTACATTTTTAATTTTGTACCACATATTACCTGATGTATTTTTAAAAATTAGTTTGAGAAAAAAATGAAGAAGCCATGTAAATGAAGGTCTCACTGTAAAGGGAGCTGGAATCCAACAATGTACATAACCTGGTACATATTAAAATATTTAGGCTCATGTTAACTTCTTAACATATGCCTACCTGTTTAGGTGGGGTTTTAGTGCCCATTTACAGCATCGTTTGTCTGTGAGCCATGTTCTGTTGAGCCACAGCCATTTCAAACAAACATATGGCCAACAAATAACATATAATGGCTGATAATAGTTTCAGTCTTTCCTCTTTTGCAAATTACATTTTATGAACAAGTCAATGAATGCATGATGAAGTATGACTTTTTAAGTCACTCTGCCATTTTAAGGAATGTAAGCATTACAATCATAGTAAATTGGGCCAATGAAGTTTGTCATTTGGAAATCTCCAAACCATCAGCAATTAAAAGATTTTTCCATGAACCCCAAATCAAGTATTCTTTGGGAACTTTAATTTTTCTTAAAAGTTCCTTTTGTTTCATTTTATTCCATGAAAATATGAAAGACTATCAGATGCATGAAACTAAAACAAAAATCCTGTATCAATCTGTGAAATGTTTAACAGCACCCTGAATTTAAAACGCAGCTTCAGTCCAAATGACATGTATGATTTATTAAAGTTCTAAGACTAACTTCTCGCACATATTTACAATACAAATCTTTCATTACTCGGAGCAATTCTCTTTGATATATGTTCTTTAAATCAGCTGCCTTTCATATTTTGATTATAGACTATCTTAATTATGAACTAAAAAAGAACACATCTCCCACTAAGAAAATGAGCACCAGCAACTCCAAAGTAATTTCCCCAGTACAACCTCCATTAAGCCTCTAAATACTTCCTTTACTAATTCAATGAATTAGAACTCTATTGTTTATGAATCACCTTTATGTTTGTAGGACTATAACTCTTCTTTTATAAAACACAATTGCTATGGAAGGAAATGATATTTATGTCTGATTAGAAATGAAAACACTATTACATAAATCAGTTTGGACATTTCTTCACGTCTTGAAACATGATCGGCAATTTAGTCTAATTGGTGATCAAGGAAACTATCTTGTGATCAATTAAAGTAATTACCAGATTCCGGCAACACAACCTACCTTAATTTCAGCTAGAGTCTGCACTTCTTCAACTTTAATTAAAAATAATGAAAATTATTAAGCAAAATGCACAGCAAGATCATTGCCAAGCACGCACATGTCACAGAACAGGACCTTCTCTTGGTGTTGGTGACTGATCAATCATATAAACATTGCTTGGTATACCAAGACAAGGCATTCTTTGCCCCAGAATATTGATTACACGTCTCACCATGACTTTTTCGTGGAAAAGACTGTTATGTTAACTGTTCCAGCCACTGCAAAGGGAACATCAGATCTTAATTTGCGGGCAACTAGCAAAATGAGAATTGTGAGGAACAGACTCAACCAAAGATGTATTTGATCCACGCTTTTTCTTCTCCCAACTGTCACCCTTATTTTTGAGCACAGTAGTCAACTGCAGAGACCTTGGGGTCAGAAACCTACAGTCAAGTCCTAATGCTGCTGTTCGCTAGCTATGTGACCTCAAAGAAATTACTTAAGTTTGAAATAAGCCTTAGTTTCCTCATATGAAAAAGAGGATAATTTGTGTAACATCCTTTACAATATATCAGGCATTCTATTAAGCACTCATTAATGCTAATGATTATTACAATGATCAACACCATAACATTACAGTGTTTGTGGCCCGGAGAGAAAGAATTCCTTTCCAAACCTGATCCAAGAACAACTGGAAAGTCAAAGAAATTCACTTTCGTAAGGCTGAGAAAACGAGAAACATATTTAAAACTGTTTCTCAAAGTAGATATCATCACAGGAAGATTCCCGATAGAACTGGCAATCTGTCAGTGAGCATCTTAGCCCAGCAGGTGACTTGTGGCTCCTTGAGAAGCCAACTAAAGGCCTTACACCTGAGGACCCTACCCTAAGCAGTCCAGTGTGTATGGCTGGGGGCAGACACAACCCCAAGCAATCCCCGGCCACTAATCTACTTGCCTTCTACTTGATCCACTGCAGACGCAACATTTCAATAACACAGGCCAATATCCAACTCTGAAATTAAAATGGGCTTCCCCAGGCACTTGAGAAAATGTTCACAAGCTACTGAAAGAGCAGCCTGCTCTACTGTACCCGTGGATGAATTAGTGCCCCTGCAGCTAGTGGTAAGTGCACAGCCTGAGAGAGAGCACACTTGATTTTAAACATGACCTTCAAAAGTTGTACTCACAAGACCGTAACATTTACAGCCTTTAAAAGAAGTCCTTAAGTCACCATTTTGGGCAATTACCATAATATTCTAAATAGCCATTTGGAAAAATAAGGCCACTCTTTCAGCTAATTGCATTGTACCACCTTCAATATATACTATGAAATGAAAAGCCAAGGAGAAAAACAGTTTGCCTTTACAGGATTAGGATTTATAATTACCTTAGTAAATTCCTCCTGAATTCCCAGGGAAGGAAGACTACTCTTTGCTGGAGGTCTATTAGTATAAATCCACTCTTCTCCAGACAGCAGAGCTTACCCAACATAAACATCTCTACACATAAGTTTACCTACGAGCCCTTCGTTTCTGTTCCATTTTTAGTGAAAGTTCTCTAACTAGACAGGTTCCACGGAGCTGATGTGTGCCAAAAAGGCACTCTGGCCAAGATGATCACAGGCTGAGAATGTCTCTTCCCTGAAAAGACACTCCTCATTTCCGAATTCTTCTGCACGTAGGTTTAAATTACCTTCTCCTTATCATCAGCTGCTCTTGGGCAGACCAACAACTCAGTCTGATTAACTCCTTCAAGAATTTCTCACAATCCTTCAGTGTTGCTTTTTCGGAATCTGCACATTTCACTAGTTTTCCATCCATGCTTTTCCCCTAAGCAGACTCAAACACTGGCTTCAGAATCAACCCAAGAGGAATACACCAGAGAAGCCATTTTTCCCGGAGTTCCCTAATGTCAAAATAACGTCTGACTCAATGTTCTCTGGGGCTGTTCATTAACGCCAATCAGCTGCCTCAGGTAAGTCCTGCTGGAGGCTTTCCTTTCTAACCTGCTGCTCATCCATATTGGTTACTTTCAGAAGTCTTCTGAGGTGAGGTAAACTGCAAAGTCTATCAAAGTTTGTTGCTTTGTTTCAGCAACACTTTAAGAATTAGAATTTATGCTCCCTGGTATTATCATTATGGAATTTATAAAAATTCAAGTTTATCTAGAAACTATCCCTAACCTTCAACTTAATGCATCGAAACACTAAAATTGATGGAGTATCTAGCCAAATATTTTAAAAATCAAGTAATGTGAAACATAGCAGTCTACTCCATACCTTTATTTCTTTATAATCAAGCAGCTCCTTTTAAGAAATACAATCACTATTTACATTATATAATTCCAGTTTATATCTGACATAAAACTGTCTTGCCTGATCATTGTAATAAAAAGAATCTATAGGCACCTGATTTTTAAAAGAGAGAAAAGGCAGGAAGACATCTGCTCAAACCAGAGCATGTTAAACTGTAAGTCAATATCCTGCAACAATGACCAAAAGGGTAGAGGAAGAGAACAAGGGCTCAGGGCAGAGGGAGCGCCCCCTCCCCTACCATGGGGATGGGGCAGGGTGGCACTCAAAAAATATTTTTAAAGAAGCAAAATAATACTTAATTTGGCTTAATGATACAGTAAATACATTTTCTACAAGCAGTACACCTTTTTTAAGACACAGTCTCATTCCACTTCACATCACAAAATCTCCAATGGTGCAAAAAGATCTGTACAATATCAGTGAGTTCATACTTAACCTTTCTGTTACCTACTTTTAAATGGGAACAATTCTCCTTTTAAGGGTCTTTGTACAGTTTCAGGAACATTTGCCAATATTTTCTGTAAGAAAAACACATCACCCAAATATTCGAGCCCAATCAGACATCCTGATAGTTCTGCGGAGGACCTCGGGCGATAGATGGCTGCAAGGCATCCCTGGGAGGAAAGAGCCTGCCAGACCCACTTCCCAGAAAACGGTGCCCAGTGAGGAAAGAGACCGTCTCATAAGTCGTCTGTATTTATTTGTTTCAAAGTACACACACAGGTTGTGAACTTAGAAAGGCCCCGAACTTGTCAGTCTTCAGACAATGAGCTGAAGCAAACCACAAATATATTCAGAATTTATCCTCGACCTGTTATGATGGGGCTTAACCGGAGATCTACTCCTACCACTGTAGGCTGAAACTAGGGTCTTTCTTGTTCTGTGTTTTAAACAGCATTACTAAAGAATTAAAGAAAAATCTCAGGGCTGAGGCACACAGAGTAAAGCTTAGCACCCTGTTTTTGGTATCAAAAGATTCACAAGGTCGGGTGGATGGTGTCATCACATCCCAGTAAGTTCTGATCCCAGGTCTCTCATTCCTTGGCCTTGAGCAAATCCTAAACCTCTCTCACCTCTCCTAGTCTCTGTAAATCAGAACTTCTACTTACTTCTTAACTTCATTGTGAATATGAGGAGGTCTCATAAAAACATTCAGAGAAAAAAAAAAAACAAACATTCAGAGACCTTTGCACAGAAAACATGCCGCTGTGGAAGACTGAAAAGGTTCCAGTTTGCTTGAATCCTACACAAAGTCATTTTGTGTCATCTTTTTAAATCTAGAAAATGTGCTCTGTGTGGCCAAAAAAGCTTAGCTGCATCTTGAATACAAATGAAAAAATGTGTCTCTGTGTTAAAAATTCACAAGTAAGGCTAATAACTCAGAAAGCAGTCATGAATACAGGAAACACTTAAAAAAAGAATAAATGCTTACTTGAGTCAATTCTTTCTGCAATATTCCAATATAAGTTACCTTAACTTCAGCTGTTGATCAGTAGGGTTTTTTGGGTTTGGACTGTTTTTTTTAAATAATTCACAATAGCCTGAAAAAAAGAAAGAAATGGTTTGTTTTCCTAAACGTACTTGTATAAACAGGAAAGTTCGTTTCTCCTCCTTAACGCGGGCTCCCATTCAGTTCCACCACAAGCAGGCCCCGTCTCTGTGCAGGTGAGGGCTGACAGGCAGACAGCACACACGCATCTCTGCTCCAAGATCTGTGTGGCTCATTTACAATCCCAGCAGAGGAAACAACTGGCTCTAAAACACTGGGACAAAGAAAGCAAATAGATACTGATGGAGTGGGAGAGCTCCGCCATTTGATGCAACTGCTAGAGAGAAAATCTTCCCTTTTGTTTTTAAGTTTATTATTTCATACCTTATGCAAATCATACTTTATGTATTAGGCAATAATATTTGAGAAATACTTGAGTCAAATTAAAGGCTTCAATAGCCTTGCCAAAAGCACTGTGATTTTCCTATAAAAAAAATTATTCCAATTTGTTGATCTTACATAGGATGAAACATACTGTAACAATCTTCATAATTTATGTCCTGTTGGGACACAATGATTTAAAGTAACATAATACAGAGCCGCATCATGGCTAATCTAAACCACCTGACCAGATAAACACCAGCTTCCCTTCTCTCTTCAGCAAGGGCATTTCTGTTTATTGTCATATCATTTCCTCATTCTAGGAACATGCAGAATAAATGCAGCCAACCTGCATTTCAGTGGGAAGCTGAGCTGGCCTTTCCCATGTCAGGAGGTTTGTGCGCACACAGGTACCAGTACAATGTCAAGGGCTTACAAGACAGAAAACAATACAAGAATTCCACCCTCAAAATCATTTACAGCGAAGCAAATATGGATTCATCCAGTACAATCTGGACCAGGTGTGGTGTTACAAACCACAATCTTTTGGGTTTTTTTTTAAATGTCACTGAAGAGGTATTTCTTCAAAACAAATTATGGGGCTTACTCTGAGCCAAATTTTTATAAATGCTTCAATCCTGCCTCTTGCCATGCTCACAGGCACTCATGATCTGATTAACCAAACTGAAACACCCAAATTAACCAACGTCTTTTCGGGGTGAGGAATCCTGGTAGAAAAGAAAGACAAAGAGCCCATATGGTACTAACCCTGGCCATTTCTGGTACACAACTGCACAGGCCCATTTCAAATTCTGAGGTTTCTCCAAGGTCCAAATCCCTTCACCTTCCTCACAGATGCAAACCTTGCTGGGCAGGGGGAGTGTTTTAGGGGGACTTCAGGGAAGGGTTTAAAGTTTCAATCGTGAAAGAAAACGTGCAGGAACACATGTGCATTCGGCAGATAACAATTCCCTGAAAATATTTTAAATCAAAATAAAATGTCTGTCTGACCAAATTTTTATGAACTTGGTTGGGGAAGAGGAAAACAAACAATTGCTTAAGATTGGTTTCAAATACTGCTTTCTGCTATTACTGAGAATTTTCAAGCTTTTCATGCACCATTGGAAATAGCTCTGCTTCACAAGCTGCTCTGGTCGGTCCTGCCAAAGAAATGGTCTGATACATTTTATTACAAGTTTATTGATTTGCTTATGCAAACATGTAATTATCTTTGCCCATAAAGACCAGTGTAAAATAGGATTCCTCCACTGAAAGCAACGAGGTTATCAAAACACAACTGGATGAGACAGGACTGGTAGATACTAGGCATTTGCATCCCAATCCCAAGTCCAGTGAAGCCCACACCATATCCTAACTCAATTCTACTGGCACCAGAACGCACAGTGTCTAAGCCACATGACCAGCACCATTTTTCAGTCTCAGAGGGATGTGTACAGTAATACAGCAACAAGTACTTACATTTCTGTCACAACCTGGAATCTTTTGAGTTGTGGAATTAAGAGGAAAATATCATTTTAGATACACTTTCTCAAACAATAGACATTCAGAAACTTGGGTTTCAATTTAACATTGTGCACATTTGCAAAAACTTAAGGTTTCAATTTAACATTGTGCACATTTGCAAAAACTTAAGGTATTAGAGTACAAATCTGCAGTATTATTGGTGACATTGCAAGTTAGTGCCATCAAAAGTGAATTTTGGTGAAAAGTAGGTCTTTTTTGCCCTAAAGCACTGACTGGACCAAGACCCCACTTGCTAAGTCATGTTTCCATGATCTTTGCCCCTTACATACACCTTCCCAGATTTCCAGAACCACTTCAAAATCAGCTCACATTGCTCTGAAGTCATGAGGGCTTAGGTCACTGTGGATTATTGTGGCTTCATGTGTGGATAGGGGTCCTCTGCTGACAAATAGCCTTGCCACTGGGCTACAATTTGACTGTCCCTGCCCTGACCTTCTCAAAATCCTGGACCTTCGTTTTTTATTATCCTGTATATCAAAGAGTTAACCCAGCAATCCACTGTTAGATCTATACCCAAAGGAAACTCTTACACCTTATACAAGGAGACGCAAGGATGCTTGTTACAGAACTAACAGTAACACCAGAAATAATCTAAATGTCCATCAATAGGGGAATGGGTAGACTGTGGCTAATTTATTTAAAGTTTTATTTGCTTTTCAGAGAAATACAATATTTTAAAAACACATATACTATATCAGAAATAGTACAATAAAATGGAAATAGTATTAGTCTAGGAATCCAAAACCTGGACTCTAGACCCAGATTTTAAGAAAGCCGCATGACTTGGCTGGACTGAGAGTCCCAGGTGGGTGGGTACAAGGAGATGATGGGCACCAATTGCTAGCACCCTTATGCACACAATAATGTTCAATTAAAAAAATATTAGCTAATAATCCTAGCACATCATCATCTGGCAGGTTGATCAGTCGTACTGTACAGAGAAAAGAGCTGAGGTTTCACAAGAAGTCACACGCTCTTATAAAAGGTGGGGCTGGGATTCCGATTTAAGCATGTCTGACTCCAAAGCCTCCAGGTGAGTTCAGAACAAATCCCCGATGGCAGATGATACTTTTTCCATTTATTTATTTTACCTAAAAGCTAATTAAAGCAAAAATAATTTCCTATAATTTTTATTTAAAAAATTTAATTACAAGAGAAAAATAAAGCAATACAGAGGCTTAGAAAAAGAAAGACTATTATAAATTTTGTTCCCTTTTCCCTACAACTGTCATGATAATATTCATTTGTTGTGTATTTTGAATCTTCTTATAACATTAAAACATCCTGCTTAGTTTCCATGTGGTTCCATTGTCTCCTTTATGTATTTTTAGAAGCTGCAAAATCTCAATTTTCTCTTTCAGAAACTATTTCATGCAAGTAGTTCAATCACGTAGAAGAGAGACATGTCTACCAAATATATTTTTTTGAGCCAGGCTTTAACATAAATATTCTTTGAATTCTCTACCAATAGCATTGGGGAGTTTCAGGGACACAAAATGAGAAGAGTGGATGCATAACTGGGAGGTGTCTATGGAATAAATGAGAAATCTTTTCTTTTTAATCCTTTTTTTCAGTACCCAGTGAAAACATTAGATAATATGATGAGTCTTCTTTAGTGAGCAACCTATTCAGGCAACCAATTAGTTCAGGTATTAACCACCTGCTGTGCCAAAACCATGACAATTGAGCCTGTTAGAACAAATAATCCACCCAGCAAACTTGAAACGGCAGCGACCATTGTCATCAAACCCTCCAACGTGCAGGCTGCATGCACTGGGGAAAACCCCGGAGTGGACATCTCTGGGATCCTAGTTCCTATCCTCAAATACTTCTTCCAGCCACCCACGCACGTGACTGTGGGCATGCCAACCAAGCTCTGTGCTCAGCAACCCTATTTGTCCAGGAAAGGACCACTCACTAAGGGGTTGTGAGAAGGCCGAGGAATCAGGATGCCAAGGAGCTTTATGCACTGCTGTCCTTAATGCTTAGAGAAGAGAGTACTGCACTAAATGATCTGCATCTTAAGTTTTCAAAATTATGATACAGGTAGAATATTGTAATGAGATCAGTTTCCATTACCCTCTTGGTCTGCCTAATCTTCCTCGAGCACCCGGTGCAAACTTGGGGACCAGGCCTGCCCTGGTGTTCTGTGATGTATTATTCACTGTAACCTTGGAAATTAAGACCAGTTGCAAATCCAGCGTCATAATAAAATAAAAAACATGCTAAGCTGTGAATATGGGGAATGGGTATGAGGTCAGAAATAAACTGGAGGTGGTTCCAGAAGAAACGTACAATCCAGAGAGCCACGTTCCATGAGACCAACAGGGTTGGAACTGGCAAGAACAGCAGTTAGTTACCTGGCTCAAAGCCTCAAGCCTCAGAAGAGCATGCCCTAAAATTTTTAGTTTGAATTGATTTTCTTTACACAAGAGGTGGTCTGCTTTAACTTTAAATGGGCCCATGCAGAATATTAGGGAAAAGCACCTGAACAGTCCTACGAAAGAGAAAGTCCACAGACTGAGAAGGGAAAAGGTAGTTGGGGTACAGACCTAGTGCTGCCAGCTTGGATAGTTACTCCTGCCTCTCAGCCTTGGCCTCCCCATCGTGGCCGGAAGAGGGCGGACCAGTGACAGTTGGGCCCCTCCTACTATGAGATTTGATGACCTGCATACAGAGATAAATGCTGTGTTCCTGGTGATTAAAGAACAATTCTTCTTCTCACAACACTGACTGGGATCTCCCTAAGCCAACAATCATATTGCGTAGGAACTGAGGGTTTATTTCTTCACAGCAGTCAGGAAAGAATCTAGAGTTCTCTGTCTGGCATGAATGACCTATTTGGGACCTCAGAGGTGTTTTTACAAGCTCCAGTAAAACTTCAAGGTAGTTTTGTGTCCAATTTATCTTTCAGTTTCATACATTGTGAGAGCAGACCCCAAGTCACAAATGTCTGCCTCAGCCTTTGCAGAAACAACACTTTTGAACCTTATTTTGTTTCGTCTGTTGCCTTCTTTGCACTGAAGGTTTCAGACCTGGAGACTGCATCTACATATGTTGGATGCTACACAGGATTTTAGTGGTCTCTGTTTCTTGGTAAAAACTGGGCCACTCTGCAACATTGTT